AGAAAGAAAAGTAAATTAGTTTGCATAAGATAACAATAAAGGTACTTACCGCGGCTAATTCTTCTTCATGCTTTGGAATAAAAGCTGTATCAACTTTTCCACTTTTGAAGTCCTGTGGCATGGAAATTAATGAATCCAAATTCAAATTCACGAGGATCTCATTGAGAATGGAAGTCTTCACAAGAAACAATGCTATAGAGAAAATAGTGAATTTCCTACCTCAATGTCAAGGATAAGCTTATGGTAATCGATTGTTGTTGGAACCCCTGCCACAAGTTGACATTTTTTAAGAATAGGAATATTGGACCAATATAGTTTTTTACCAAATTGTGAAAGAAGTTAGAGAATTTTGAAGACTGTAAAATGATGTGTGTGCGCGCACAAACAAGCTAACAAATAAGAAAAGGGCACAGATGAATACTTAGATCAGAAAGAATGTGCAAAACCTAACGATTTGTTAATATGGACAAGGGAAGAACGAAATGTTTAGAGAAGAAAGGGAACATCTATGTGAATTAAAAAGTAAAATGCATGATGACGTGTCACATTCACTGGGTGGAAGTTATTGAATTGCTTATAAAGATATTGCAACTGAATAGAAAGAATTTATAAGATGAAATCCTTGATAGGTTTTGAAAGAATTTATAAGATGAAATCCTTGATAGGTTTTGACCAACCAATCGAACCATGCAAAGATCTCTCAACCAAGTTGAAATCTATAACGAGCCCACAATGCCAGACGATATTGACACACGGTCAAACTCGTCTTCAGTTCCATGAATTCTAATGAAACACATAAAAGAAAGCCAGTCGATTTACCTGTGATAATGGTGTCATCAAGAGCCCTTTTCATGCGTTCGATTGCCCTCTCTCTAGTTGGAGCCCAAACAATTAGCTAAAATCACATTTTGCGACATATTAGAGTGATTAAGAGCTAAATCTGCAACTGTAAAAGAAAGTGAGAATATATATACATATAGAAAATTGTGTCAAGCATTGTATTATAACTGCTTTCCTTATCTGTATTCTGTAAATTTTATTGTCTAAGAAGGTCCCATTTGAAACTTCTCCCAGTAGTCAATGAGCGGGAAGAGGTTTAAGAAATTGATTCAAACAAGAGAGGTAGGGGTGTTAAGTGGGACGAGCTGCATGCGAGCTCGGCCCACATACTGACAAGATTGTAGAATTGTCTGAATGACTCTCAATTGAGAGTTTCTTCCCATTAAATAGAACTTTGTCCCTCATCACAGATCCTAATTGACAGCCGTGATATTATGAAATCTCCTAATTTCATCACTTTCCTAGTTACAACATAATCATCTCTCATATAAGAAAATAAAGACTTTT